ACTTCAATGAGTCTCTGAGATCCCTGAGGTCTCTGAGGTCTCTGAGGTCTCTGTGGTCTCTGAGGTCTCTGAGATCCCTGAGGTCTCTGAGGTCTCTGAGGTCTCTGTGGTCTCTGAGGTCTCTGAGGTCTCTGTGGTCTCTGAGGTCTCTGAGATCCCTGAGGTCTCTGAGGTCTCTGAGGTCTCTGTGGTCTCTGAGGTCTCTGAGATCCCTGAGGTCTCTGTGGTCTCTGAGGTCTCTGAGGTCTCTGAGGTCTCTGTGGTCTTTGTGGTCTCTGAGGTCTCTGAGATCCCTGAGGTCTCTGTGGTCTCTGAGGTCTCTGAGGTCTCTGTGGTCTCTGAGGTCTCTGAGATCCCTGAGGTCTCTGAGGTCTCTGTGGTCTCTGTGGTCTCTGAGATCCCTGAGATCCCTGAGGTCTCTGAGGTCTCTGTGGTCTCTGAGGTCTCTGAGATCCCTGAGGTCTCTGAGATCCCTGAGGTCTCTGAGGTCTCTGAGGTCTCTGAGGTCTCTGAGGTCTCTGAGATCCCTGAGATCCCTGAGGTCTCTGAGGTCTCTGTGGTCTCTGAGGTCTCTGAGATCTCTGAGGTCTCTGAGATCCCTGAGATCCCTGAGGTCTCTGAGGTCTCTGTGGTCTCCTGGTTCTTTCCTGATCTGATGTGTTATAAAATCCTGACTAAGATTAAAAACAGTGTGGACTTTTTCTTCTGCTAATGCTTCTCCTCCAAACTTGATCCTGACCCTGACCCTGATCCTGATCCTGACCCTGACCCCCTGCAGGTTCTGCTGTGACATGAAGCTGAATGGTCTCCTCAGGGTCTTGGCTCTGCTAGGTTTCTTCCTCCCTCCATCAGCTGACAGTCGGCCCCCTGACCCCCCTGCTGTCCTCCCTCTGGGGGAGTTCTCTCTGCATCGAGGAGGAGGCGCCGTCCCCCGTCCCTCCCCCTGGATGATGATCGGGGCTCTTCTGCAGGAGGAGGGGAGCTGGAGGAGAAGGAGGTCTGACGAGCCCCCCCTGTCTCTGGACCTGACCTTCCATCTGCTCAGGGAGGTTCTGGAGATGGCCCGGGCCGAGCAGCTGGCCCAGCAGGCCCACAGTAACCGCAGGATGATGGACAGCTTTGGAAAGTGACCACTTCCTGTCTGAGGTGACGCTGTTCGTCCCCCCTCCTTCAGCTTGGCGGCCATTTTTAACAAACTGAAATTAATTCATTTCAAAGAAGCTCTGAGGTGTGTTTGTAAACAAATAAACATATGAAG